GCTAAATGTGTGCATGATAAGATATTTATGTACACATCTTTTTAGCTGCCTGTACTAATATGGTATATAATTTTAATTGCAGTTAATAGTGTTAATACATTTTTTATCACAGTGAATGTTTTTTATCTATATAATAGCTAGAACTTAGCAATGACATTAAGGTGGTAGCTCTTATAGCTAAGTTAGATTCAGCTATTGAAATTTAGCTACTATTACCAAATCATTTTTTTGCGTGAAATTTGAATAAGACCGCGCGTATGTAAATAACACAACTAAATATGAGAGCGCCTTCTGCGGTCATTGGCATCTTAGATACCATAACGAATTCTGTATAAATTTTCTTAACTCCATGTAAACAGCCGTTAAACTGCGCGCTGATTAAATGTTCGGACTTGCAACGCAATCATTAGCCGAGACTGGAATAAAGATATTATATTGATTTTTCTAATTAACCGACGCTTATAAGCATCTTAAAATATTGAAAAGAACTTATTGCAAAAAATATTACCCAAGCCAGGATAATGTGGTAATATTTTTTGCAATAAGTTCTTTTCAGTATTTTAAGATGCTTATAAGCGTCGGTTGATTAGAAAGATCAATATAATATCTTTATTCCAACCTCAGCTAATTATTGCGTTGCAAGTCCGAACATTTAATCGGCGCGCAGTTTAACGGCTGTACATGCGAGTTAAAGAAAATTCATATAGAATTCGTTAGGCATCTAAAATCCAGCCGTGATCGCAGAAGACGCTCCCGATTTTAGTTTCATTATTTTTAATTATTCTCTTGAAACTTATTGTTCACCATATTATACTGATAAAAACGTTTAATACATTATCTGCCCAGATTTATACGTCTTACTATGTAGTAAGTCATAAGCCACAGTAGAATCATCATAAGCATATATAAAACACTGTAGTATTATAATGATTAAATAAGATTATGCATATGGAGAGTATATTAAATTGTTTACTTTTTATTTTACATTATCATCTATCTATTTATGGAATTTAACATTTTACATTAAATTTTCTATAAGTTTTAAAAAATTGTAATAATTTCGGTCATGGATGATCGCCATAGTTTGATCAACTTGAAGTCACATAGCGGTAAAAATTTTTTTGTAATATGATTGATAAGTATAGTGAAGTAATTGCCTATGAGAGCCGACATGAGTGTTAATGTGTGAAATTCTGTTATAATATCCAACCACACATGATCTGCGTACCGCATGATTTGTCGGTCTTCAAACACAACTTTGCATGAAGCTCGTAATTAATTAATTTGACGAACAATTTAATATCTTTTGATGCTAATATGCATCTATAAGATTATTCTCCCCCCAAACCTGTAAAGAATCTTATAGATGCATATTAGCATCGAAAGATATTAAATTGTTCGTCAATTTAATTAATCACAAGTTTGCGGATTCATGCAAAAAGTTGTGTTTCAAGACCAACAAACCGGCGTGCAGATCGTGTGTGGTTGGATATTGTAACAATAAGAATTTCACACATCAATACCCGTGTCGGTTCTTATTACTTTGCTATATTTGATTTATTCCTTGGAGCCTATTTCTTCTATCTAAATTTATATGATTGATAAAATTACTTTCAGATTAACTGTAAAATTTCAAAAATGAATTAAAGTAAAATTTTTAACAAATTATAAATCCTTCCTTATAGAAATTCTAAAACTACTTCATTCTACCGAGAGGAGAAGAAGCGTGCGCTGCTCGTGCGACACATTGCATCGCATGCGGTGCGATCCGGCAGAAGTTTTGTAAATTGGTCGCTTTGCTGGAACAAGGAGAATGTAGCGCAAGCGATGAATTTTAAGATAGGATACGTTGCACGTCCAGAGGCAAATCTAACCGAATTTATTCAAATCCCTATCGTTTTACCCTTCTAGCCGTAGGGCGGCAGCAATAAGTCACCGTCTCGGATCGTTTCTATGAATAATGCAATTTACGAGAAACTTTTTCCGCAGAACGAATAATACGGCGCGATGCAGGGGACATAAATATATATTTCTTCAACCTGTTTCAGAGGTCAAGATGAAAACAATACTCTAAATGAGCAAATGTACTGGCTCTTGAAAGAAGAGTAGCAAGAAAGACGTTCCAAACAGTCATTTTATTTTTAGCTACCGCTCTGTTAATATATATTTTCTTATAGAAACTGCAAGAATAAAAAATGTGTAAAATAAACTCCTCTTTTTCGTCTACGAGTCATTTAGTCACGTTCTTGATTCCTTCTTGATGAAGATATTGAGTATTATAATAATTTTTCAATCAGTAAGTGGTTAAAATCTGTAAATTTTTGTCAATTAAAACTCTTATAAATGCAAAGAGATAAGGATAAATTTTACTTCTTACTTTATTCCAATTGTACTTTAACAGAATTTTAATTAAAGGGCTTAGCGAGGAGCGCTGTAATCGCGTGACGCTTCTTGGGGAGGGGGGGAGGGGCAACTATAGTTCCGGCGCCCTCATCGCCGGAAGGATAAGCGAAGCAAACGGGTTATCAGCGGAAAATAGGACGCAGGAGGGAGAATTCGCCCATTGGATGTGTCCCCATAGTTGACACAGTTTCCTAACGGCGGCGCAGTCTGACGATCGATAACAACACGTCCACGGCGCGTCGCGACGCGACTTTGCCTAAGATCATCGTTGCAGTCAGCGCGTTACACGCCGACACGATGTTTCAATCTTAATGGGCCATTCCCGGCGCGCAGTCATACGGTGCACCACGTGCGACGCGACTGATGTTTGGGCTCGCCGTTAATGCGACGACAATATTGATCGCGAGCGACGGGAAGCCCCTCTGAGACCGTCCCGACTTTGGCGAAGATCTACGCGTTTGCAAAGACGAGAGCGGATCGATCAAGACAATTTCCGCTGTGCGAGATGCATCGGGCGCTAAGGTTCGAAACCAATCAAGAGAAAGAAAGCCCTAAGTTTCTTTGTAAACGTCTATGAAAAAGTACAACTCTACAAGGATTAATGAATTTGAATTAGAATCTTTTCTGCTCGCACTATGAAAATATGTTAAATATCTTAGAAATATATGGTAAGAAGATCTTTTTACATTTGCTTTCAAGTGCAAGAAAGTAAATCGGAGAATATCATTCATATATTTGGCTTATACGATTACTTAGAGAAAAAAGAAAACATAAACTGATATAAGTTAAGGGGGGGAGAGCCTGGTTTAGCACGCTGAAAAATTAGGTGACTTAGAATTTTTTTTTTAGGAAACTATACAACTAATCCTTTTGAACTTTATAGGGTAATTTCTTATACTATTGAACTAACAAAAAAATTTTTTTTGCTAGAAAAATGTATTTATTATGCAAGTAATAATAACTTTTTATTCGGCGCGTCGGGGTGCAATGTAGCGTCGCTTGTATTTGTCTGAAATAAAAAATCCAAAAAGATTATTGTTTATTAAGAGTTTACGCATTAACTGAACATATTTTTAAAGAAAATAATGCAAAATTGTGAAAATTGCGACACTTGGAAAAAAAAGTAGCAATTTTGGTAAAAAATTTTTCGTATTTATTAAGCAATAAAAATTGTTTAATTAAATAATATTATTATAAACTGTGGTTCAAGTTATTAGGGAAGTATTTGTGCAAATGTGTGCAAAGGCCCAAGTCAATCGAATGAATAATTTTTAAATTATCTTGCACGCCGCCAAACACCGCCGAATAAATGTTACTATTACATAATATTGTATAATAAATACTTTTTTCTGGCAAACAAAATATTTTTTTGTTAGTTCAAGTATAAAAAATTACTTTATAAAGTTCAAAAGGATTGGTTGAATAGTTTCCTAAAAAAAATTCCAAAAAAGTCACCTAATTTTTCAGCGTGCTAAACCAAGCTCCCCCCTTAAAATAAAATTAGAAAACTCCTGAAATTGTTAAATAATAAAACAGAAATAAGGCTAATGGGAATTATAGCGCGGTAAGTAAAGCGCAAAACAATTTAGTAGTGTTAAAAATTCTTTAATTCAATACTTGTTGATCCATCGACGTTTCGATTCAATTTTGAATCATTTTCAGTAGTTGATGGAATAATGGACTTAATTTCAGAGATGCTGCACAAATGCACAAAAAAATAGTCTGAATCTACAGTCAGACACCGAATTTTTACATTATGCTTGTTTATCGGTTACTCAGCTTGTTATAAACAGGATTCCTTGTGTTAAAGATCAACGAATATCTATTATTTATAACTCTAATCTTGATAAATAATGTTTGACCTACGACAACCTCAATCTTTAAAAAAAAGTTCATTATTCCAATTGCTGAAGATGATTGAAATCGAAACGTCCATGGATCAACAAGTATTAAATTAAAGAATTTTTAACACTATACTAAATTGTTCTGCGCATTACTTACCGCGCTATATAGCTTCCATTATCCTTATTTCTGTTTTATTATTTGATATAAGTTATTAGATAACCGAGCTTCTTCTGTTTTGTGGCTTACGAATGCAATCAGTTTTTTAAAATTTATAAATTTTGGTGAAACAAAAAGAATTTCAGAAGAATATTTGCGCGAATTTCGGAATTCAAGTACTCTAATAAATAAACCGCGTTTCTGACCTCAACTCACAAAATAAATTCTACTAGCGAGACGACAGCCGACTTAATGCGGTATTTTCATTTGTATAATATTATTGCTTCCCTTTCAACATGAACTCGGGAACGTCTTCTTCCGAAAGTAGAATAAAACAAAAAAAAACAAAGATAAAAGGCAAAAATAATAGTACGCCCGCGAAATTATGGTGGACTAAATTTCTCTGAGAGCATCACAGATTATACGAAGTAGGACATAAGTCTGTAGGTCGTTCGTATATAACGAACGAGAAATGTTGGAATATCGACGTGGGTCCACGCGGCGGCTTAATGCCTCGCTACCTTGGAAAAGGAAGCTGTAGACCGCCCCCGCCCCGTGAAAGAATAAGAGATGGTGGATGGAACACCGAGACTCACCGATACTCCGATCCCTCGCTCAGCTGTCTAACCGTAATGGGAAATTCGCTGGGTCCGTGCGCTTTCAGAAGTTCCTGCAATCGCACGAGACCCTCGTTGTTCTCGTAGATAATGGTGAAACTCTTCCAGCCCCAGGCCTTCACCAGATCGACGTACGCCTGGAACACGGGTAATCAATCACGAGCTATGTTATTATTACAGTCGGGTTAACAGCTGCCGTAACGCTTTTACGTCTTTCGTACGATGTAATTTAACTCTCGGCCTTCGTCTACGTCGATCGTGATAATATTGCCGTCACACGACGAAGGCAACAAGTGCGATGAATTAACATCTCTCGTTAACGTAATAACACGCGTAATTTAATGAGCACATTACGAGTATTTATGTAAAACGTAAGTAATACATCTCAAGTTATATATTATAGGGGTGTACAGTGCGACGGCAAATATTATGCTATTGCATGATGAAATGAAAATATCAGGAAACTTGAGTACGAAATCTGAACGTTAGCAGCATTAAATAAATGAATGCAATTGCTTGTTATTTTTATCTCGTACAAAGTTTTCATTTAAGTTTCTTTATCTGTTGGTATATTATGTACACGATTTAATTGAGTGTTTGGATACGTAAACAAATGAGAAAATCGTATTGAAAATAATTCCGTCGTAATATTACTAAATCAATTATCGTGCACATTAATTGTTATGCGATTATAGTATGCATAAAAAAGAGTTTGCGCTCGTACTAGTCGATCAAATAGTCAATATCTGTCATTATAACATGCAGGGAAAAAACTTAAAATGTAAAACAAAATTTTACAAAAGAGATTAAAAGCCAGAATATTGTCAAATATTATTTTTAAACTTAAAAAAGCTTAATGTGTGCATTATGTGTTTGTTCTTACTTGTTTACATTATAAGAGTAACTAACATTCCTGTAATGTCAACGAATTTTTACACATAGCTATCGATATTTATTAGATGCGTGAAAGTGACGATATATGCGCATTTACGAAGCGATGGCGTGAAAAAAAATATGTAGATTTGTGAACGCAAAAACTGTGCGTTGCTCGATTCACAGTTAGTAACAAATTGCATATCGGGACGAAATACAACGGGACATCACAAGAAGAATTCGCGCGCGGACATTCATGTTTTCGCGTTTCGAATTCCGTTAGAATTTCGAATTCTGACAATATTTGAGTTTTGACAATATGTTGCCGATGACGTATCGTCGGCGTTAACTGTAAATCGCAGGCGAGTCGAATAAGCGAGCTTCATGTAGGCACTACCATTATACCGCGGACATGGAACATCGTAAAATACCATAGTTATCCGCGCGATCAACACGCACTGCCATTATCGTTACATTTCTTTCCGCGTTCTTTCTGCGGAGGACTTCGTTATACCAGAAATAAGTTGTTGGTTATTGTCACGGTAGTGTCTCTATGAACGCTTTTACATCTTATTATTGGTTATATTAATCTTTTCTTAATCCTTTCATGCCTGACATTTTTCTTGGAATAATTAGCATCTAATTCATATCTTACTAGATAGGAATTAAATATATTATTAGAATAAATTATTAGAATTTTTTAGGACCGCTGATTATGAATCTGTAAAATTCAAAATGGCAAATCCAATATGGCGGACCAAAATATAAATTTTTTGGGATTTAAGTAAGTTGCCTCAAGACTCCAAGTATATAGTTTTATTTAAGAAAATTACAAATTTTAATTATTTATTTCAGATTCATAATCAGCGACTTAAAAAATCTCTGAAATTTGAATTTCATTCAAATCCAAAGAAATTTACATTTTGATCCGCCATACTAAATCAGCTATTTTGAAATTATAAATAAACGATTTTCTAATATATTATAGTTCTCACGTTGACCTTCAAAATGAGTCCAGAAAGAACTAGCTATCTTAATTATTGTAGAAGATGTATACATTTTTCATTTTTACTTCATTTTACGAATTTTTAACAAGATCAAAAGATGAAACTTCCAATGGTGTTGATTTTTTTGTGAAGAGCCCTATTTTTTATCTTTAAAATAAGTCCAGGAAGAAGTTATTGTCTTTATTTTTGTAAAAGATATGAATTTTTGAAAGCTTGACACATATATGTGCCACTATAGGCACGAGAGGGTTAAGCCATTTACGAATGCTAAACTTATTAATATTGACTTGTTAAAAATAACTGTTAACGCTACAATTATCCAGCTAGAGAAACCATATTTAAGCGTTTTAAGAGCACAAATGTCACACATGATTATTTTAATGTATCTTTTAAAAGAGAATTTAATACCGTATGTTATATCATATTACATTATATATAATTTCTAATGGCCCCCCGGGATGTAACAAAAATTTATAACAAAGCGTAACTATATATTTCCGTTTTAAAATAAGCCTTCTCTGTCGCGCGTTCTTTCTATAATACATTGTATTATGATGCGACGGAGTGTCTCTTGTGAGAGCAGCTTGTAAGAGACTAGTTTTGCCGCGCAATGGCTCCTCTATAGTCCAGGCTTTTAACTGGGAAAACAAGTATCACACAGTCGCGACGGTCTCCAATGGCCGAATCGAAGACGAAGCTGGAGATACTTTCGCGAGATTTCACTTCGCAGCCGCGCTTTTTCCGATAATCTAAATTCGCCATGAAAGAGAGTGACTGTATATTTTTCAACAGGAAATCTCCGCTGCGGTTCCGCATACCATCGTCTGTCTCCCATTTCACTTCGTTCCCTTTTGCAAACACGCGAATTTCAAGACTTTATATTACCGGCCATTTTCGAGACTTCCTTCGCTGCACTTCTGGCAAAAGAACCAAACATCCAGCTGCATAATACTCGACCCAAATAATCTCAAGCCGTTGGGGAATTATAATGCGTTCTGTCACGTGTTCTAGACTACCATCTGAATTTTCTATCTCGGCAGATAAAATTATTTTGCGAATTTTGTCGCGGTTGAATTCTGCACATTCAATTTCCTTTCAATTATTTTTTATCACAAAATACGTATTTTAAGTTATGAACATCTTACCATTTCTTTTATTTTTTTTCTTTAATTTTCTAGAAAATATTTTTATAGCTTTCCTTACGTTTTATCTTTTATAAAATAAAAATAATGTTTTTATTAAATTTTCTATGAAACGAATATGCAAGATATAAACTTGCAATTTGAAATTTTATCTTTTCCATTTTTAAATAAAAAAAAACGTAATGAAAGAGGGGGCAAGTAGTAACAAATTTTTTTCTTTCTCTCCTACAAGCTAATTTCAAGTTTATAAGATATGAGTTTTCACTAAAAGAGTACTTTCCACTTTTAAATATACAAAAAACTTAATTACAGTTTCCATTAGTCATGTATACAGGCTAGATTTTCATAAAAACTGAAACCTACATTTGTCACTATTTGTCCCACTCTATATGGGTAAATAGTGACACCCTATGGAATTACAAAATACATAATTCTTAACTCCTAATCGATCTTTCTTTTGACATTTTGATTAGATAGATCGGAAGAGCAC